TTGGCAGAAGTTCAGTGCTTGCATGCTTTCTTGTAGACCTTCTAGAATTGACAGGAGATAAAGGAAGGTGGTTATCTCAATCTTAGCTGCAGTACTGGCATTGAGATTGCTCTTCTGGCTGGCTAACATCTTGTATTTAAACTGGTCTGTCTTTGAACCAAACAGAAGAGATGAGAACTGAATGTTTAGATGCTCGTCAGAACCGGAGAGAAAGCAGATCTGTCATCTTCTGTTTCAGTCCTGGCAAAAGAGTATTTTGCTGCTGTGACTTCTCTGTGGATGGAAATCCTGGTTTTACTTACTTTGGAATACTAAATAATTAAATGTCAGCAGGGAGCTTTGTATTTTAATTTTGTTCCTACTTATACATTCACATTGAACTCCTTAGTGGATTGCCAAGTTCAGCAGAAATCAGTTCCCCATTTGTGTCGTGTAATCTGGCTGCTGCCATGGCTTCTTCACAGAAGGGTGATATTGGAGGCTTCATTTACCTAGTTTTGTTTAAAATGTCAGACAGTGAATGAAAATACCTTTTGTTTTAAAAATGAGTCCACTTTTTGTTGGAACACGTTCTCTTTCCTCCTCAAGTAAAGGGGTGATGGGGGGGAAACCTTTACATTGAAAAGCGTGGACTCTGCAGAAGAACTTGCTGACTGTAATGGATGACTTTGCTTGGGACTGGAATCTCTTCCAGGTCATGATGTTTGGCCAGCTAAGACCAGTATTCATCCCAATTAGCTGATCACTGTGCCTTTAGTCACATCCTGTGCACCTTGGCCACAGGAAATCATGGGTGTGGTCGAAGGCTTCGAACTCATCAAAATGTCTTTGTGGTAACTCCCAATAACTATTTGTCTGGGTTACTGTGGATGCCTCTCATCACACACTTTACTAGACAACGTGGTGGGCTGCAGGTGTGAATTCTGGTCTGCCAGGAGTGACACTTCACCATCTGCAGCCATGGCTTTGGAGCTGTGTTGTCTAATTAAAAGAATGGTTGTATTTCCTTTACTGAGTTAGTGGTGATTTTTGGTAAGTGCTTCATAGTGCTGCTTCAAGCATTGATTTACAAGTCTACACAGACACACTGGTGTTCACTGTTTGATTTAGGTCTTGTTATTTTTCTTTTATGTGCCCCAGAGTTTTTCAGGGTAGGTAACTGGGCTGAGTTGTCAGAGCTCCTGCTACAATGTAGGGACTTAAGAAGGGGCTGGAGTAATAAGAAATATCTGGTATGTTCTGGAAACACAGAGGAATTTGGTTGCAGATTAATTCAGAGGATTTTGCAGAAATGGATCACTTGAAATTAATTCTCTGAGACAAGGTTGAGGTACTCTGCTCAAGAGGGAAACTCGCTTATCCTCAGTGTAGCGAGAGTTGAGAAAGAAAGAAAAGGATGGATTATGGCTTTTGTGGCACTTACAACTCTGAGCCCTAATTTGTGGCATAGAGGATAAAATTATATATAGGGAACAGGGGAAATAAGAGAGATGTCTGCATACACACAACCCCTGCATGTCATGAAATATGTTGTGAGGCTCTGAAAATCATACTGTAATAACTTTAGTAGTCATGCATTTTTTTAAATTCTCATCCATGGCTGTTCATTCACTTGGATCTTGCATTGTCTTAAAACAATGAAGCTGATCTTTGTGTTTTAAGAACAGTGCTTTGCATAGATGTGCTTTGTAAACAGAGGCACCCAAACAGTGTGGTACTGTTCCACTGGCCCTTTAGATGCTGTGCAGCAGGCCAGGAACAGTTTAATTCTGAAACACTAGGTTTTAGGTATTTTTATGCAGTGCTGCTTGCTTCACAATAAAGTGAAAATGCGCTGTTTTCTTGTGTGTTTAAACCAATATTGGTTTTATTCCTGTTATGCTTTGGGATCATACAAGTTGTCTTTTTACAATGTCAGCAAAATGGCTGAGCAAGCCAGTATCAAGTGAGAATGAACTCCAGTTGCTGTGACTAAGCTGAGGTGTATTTGATATGTGCTTATTGTGTGAACTTTGAGATTGTTCTAAGTAAAATACGTGACTTTCCACCTCAGCAGTAGTGTTGTGACAGCATTGCACTTGGTTCTTATGCTCTTCTTGTGCAACATAGTTTTTTGCATTAGACTTTATTGATGCTTGGATGTAAAATCAGCATTTACCAGCTTGAAGTAATTGTGTTCTTTTCATCTTAGTCTGTATCTGTTTGCACTTGATTTTGAAATCTGAGAAAAAATAGTTGGACTGATTTGGAGTTTAGGGTCTTACAACTGTAATGTAGTAGATTGTTGGTAACAAGTTTTTGCTTAAGTTGTAGAATATCACCACAAGTCAAACTTCTGTGGTGTGGGGTACTTACAAGGGTTGAAGGTGTACAGAAATAATGCTAAGAATTGTTAAGAACTGAAAAAAGGCTGAAATACAAAAGAATAAGTGTCCAAGAAAAATCTGTTTCAGAATTGTATAGTTGTTTGTCCTGATGATAGACAATGAAACCTGGACATTTCAAAATGTTGATGTCAAAATACTGCAGTGTGTTGCACTGTTATCCTTAGTGGCAATAAGTCACTGAGTTTTTGAAGTTCAAGGGCTTGTGGGTGTGCTTCTTTCTCTTTCTTAGTTCACCTTTGTGAGATGGTCGGATCAGTTGTTTTCTGCCTTGTGCTGAAGGATGCTGAAGATTGCTCTGCTGCTTCCTCTCCATGAGGAAGTGCAGGAGAGCTGCTGGTGGAAGTCCATTTGTTGGAGGGGAGGATGGGCAGGGAGGGAGTTGTGTGATGTGGCTGAGTAAGTAGCATCATCATGGATCTGGCAAGAGGATCAATAAAGAGGGAGTGGATCTAGGTGAGGTTGCACAGGGTGGTGTGTGATCCAGTACAAGGTCAGGGGCACAGAGAGTGCAGTGGTGGTGTTAGTGATCACTTCCCTTTGTGAAACTGGGTCTTCCATGTGCTGCTGTTTTACCAACCTGTGTTCCTTCCATAGGAACGAATGTGGAAATTTGGGGTTTGGTTGATGGACCGCTTGTTGGTGGCTTGTTTTCAGGATGTTACTTTTCCCATGTTCAGCTCTGCCAAACCTCTTTTCTGGAGTGCTTAATCACTTTAATATGTGCCACTCTTAATGTTGTGGGACATAAGGCTGTAAATGGACTAAGCAGTTAGTAACACAGTATTGCATGAAACTGGTTTTAGAACATGGAGATGTTAGAATCCCTGCACCAGCATTCCTCCACTGCAGGATTTAAATAGAGATTGCTGTTCTGCAAGTTGACCTGGAACAGTCTTTTTCCATCAGAGTAGCTGTCTGAGTTATCTACGTGTTTGGTCACGTGAGTATCTGAGCGATTTAATATTTCAGAAACCAAGGAAGCAACAGCTCCATGGCTGAGAAGTTCTGCCATTCTCATCTCAGTCAGCACAAACGCTGCATACCTTTGATGAAAAATGAATGCTGCATTCTTTGTGCAGTGCTTCAAGTGTGTTAAGAAAATACGGTGGTAGAAGCAGTCTAATTAAAGAGTAGGGTTTTTTATTGGGGTGCTATAAACATCTGTAAGATTCTCTGTCAAAAGGATAATTAAGCTGGCTAAAGCTTCTGAATGTAAGAGCGTATTAGAAGAGGCTAAAGCTGTTAAAACACCTTCAAAACATCCGGTGAGTGTCACTGCATTAAAATGAACTTAAGTCAGGCTATCTTAAAATAAATCTACACTTTTAGCATCTACCACAAGCCAGCAATGACCTATCTTTAGTAGGAGGCACAGCACGAGTGGAAATTGTCACAGGGGGGTTGACTTCTGTTGTAAATATGTCTGTAAATGCGTCTGCAGAGTGGTTCCAGCCTGGGCTGGTGCTGGGGCATCTCAAGCTCTGTGCTGTGCAGGGTGCTGAACCATGTTACACGCTTCTATTTTTTTGCAGTGTTCAGTAAAACATTTCATGTTCCATCTCATGAACCTCCATCATTAAACTGTGTGGTGCTTCTGTTTGAAGTGGTGACCATGGTGGTCAGCTAGGATGATGTGAGGGGACAGAGAGACCGCTTTTGGGTGGGAGAGTCAGCCACTGTCTTGTGATACCTTGTAGATACCTTGGGTTATAGAACAGAATACAGTTCTTTGTCATTCTGAATAGGAGCACTGACGGTTGAAAAGCAGGGAAATCTTTGTAGATGGTAACTTGTAAACTTGTTACTATTTATATTTCTAATACCTTCTTGATATAGAAAATTATTGTGGCATGTGTCTGGTGACTGTTCTGAGAACAAACTGTAACAACTGTCTTTGGCTATTTTAAAATTACCTTTCTGATGCTATATTTAACCTGTGCTGCTTCATACAAATTGCCTTTGTGTGCAAGTTTTATGTACAAAATTCTGTGGGGAAAAAATGGTGATGACAAAGATGTTTCCCAATTTTGATTTATAAGGACACAACTTGATGTTATTAGTCTGTGTTTAAACACAAAACTTGTTGAGAGAGCTTGTGCAGGTAATTACCTGCTCTGTAATTGCTGGTACCAGTGAGGGCTTATGTTCTCATTCTGCTTCATGTAGGACTCACTGCCTTTGTGGGTGAGTTGGTGTCTGTGCAGATGGATGTCAAGATGTTGGTAGTGTTTTAGCTATGTCTTAAGTTTGGGCTTTTGGAGGACATTGGCAGGATTTTTAGATTTAATTTTTCCAAATACTTACAAACCTTTTTAAGTTCCAGCAGTGATGATAATTTTTTTATGTTTTTGTAGACAGTCTGAAATTTCACTGAAGTTGGAAATTACCTCTGAAATACCATTCTCAAGGAGAGAAAACCCCCACCAAACCAAATTTCTGTTGCTAATACAGGGCTGCATAAAGCAAAATATTATTTTAAGTAAAGGGAAACTCTTATCTCAAATGCCTCAGACAAGGAAGGGACAAGAGTTCCTGAAGAGAGCAGGTAGTAGAGAGCAGGAAGTGGTAGAGTGTGCTTTGAATAAAACAACTGTTCATAGACAAACTCACAATGAATGTGTCTTTTGTTTTGTAGGCTAAAGAAATTTTGACAAAAGAATCTAATGTACAAGAAGTGCGATGTCCAGTCACAGTCTGTGGAGATGTCCACGGACAATTTCACGACCTCATGGAACTTTTCAGAATTGGAGGCAAATCACCAGACACAAACTATTTGTTTATGGGGGACTATGTTGACAGAGGCTATTATTCAGTGGAAACAGTCACATTGCTTGTAGCTCTTAAGGTAACTTTTCTTCCCAGCTGCACAGTTCTGTATAAACATATATAATTACTCTGCTGACTGCACTTATTATCTATTATGATTTTCACTACGCTGGTATTAGAGGTACACAAACTGACATGTTGGCTGTCTTTAGTTTTCTAAGTCACTCCTTAAAATAAATTAATGTTCAATGCAAGCCTGAGCTTTATCTAAAATGAGTACTTTTTACTTGCCTAAGTAGCAGTCTTTAAGAATTTGCTGAGAGAGATCAGCTTAATGCACAGTTGTACTGAAGTCCACTAGTAATAGTAAATACAATTTGTAATTAATCCCAGAAATATTTGGCAGTTAAAAATTATTCCTTTTTTTCTCAAAGGCTATAGGTGAACCTTAATCTTAAGAAGGGCTTGGTTTTAATTGCTTTACTGATGGGGATTAAGGGGTGCAAATTGTGGTTTTGGGAAGCCACACGTGTTTTGATGCCTCTCCCATGCACTGCTGTGTTTAGGTCCGTTACCGCGAACGTATCACAATTCTCCGAGGGAACCACGAAAGCAGGCAAATCACACAAGTCTATGGGTTCTATGATGAATGTTTAAGAAAATACGGAAATGCAAATGTTTGGAAATACTTCACAGACCTTTTTGATTACCTGCCTCTAACTGCCTTGGTGGATGGCCAGGTATGTTGACATTTGACAGAGTTAAATGTTCTTGGTTGTAAAGAGAGCTCCTAATGCTGCATTCTGTTGGCTCTCAGTTGTAAAGGAATCTTGTGCAGATTTTCTCCTAATCATTTATTCTAAACCATTATAATTGCACTCATTAAATAAATAAACTTCATATGTCTGAACTCTTGCAGATTTTCTGTCTACATGGTGGCCTCTCTCCATCGATAGATACACTGGATCACATCAGAGCACTTGATCGCTTGCAGGAAGTTCCCCACGAGGTACTGAAAAATCATTTTCTAAACCAATGAGTTTCATGATTCAGCATGTATTGGGTGGTTGGGTTCACAGGCTGAAAATGAAATTCAGATCAGCTTAGCAATAAGAAAGTGCCTGTCTTCCTGTTCTGGGTTTTTGAAGGAAAGGTGAGGGACACCTGCCTAAAGAAAGAAACATATTAAGTCTCAAAGTGTTGCCGCAACAAGTTGCGTGGGAGGGGAGTGTGTGCAAGTTTTTTGTGGGTTTTTTTGGTATTTTGTACTTCACCTCTGAAACCTCTTCTGCATCTCTTACAGGGTCCAATGTGTGACTTGCTATGGTCAGATCCAGATGATCGTGGTGGCTGGGGAATTTCTCCTCGAGGTGCAGGTTATACATTTGGACAGGATATTTCAGAAACCTTTAACCATGCCAATGGCCTTACGTTGGTTTCAAGAGCTCATCAGTTGGTAATGGAGGTGAGCAGGACATCCTGTGTGTTCCAACCTTGAATTCTGTGCCTGGTCCATTAATTCTCTGTGTGCCAGAGGTGTGCATGTGCTGCTGTCACAACTGATGGTCCAGCTGAGACTCTTCCAGAAACTTGACGTTGACAGTATTGATGTGCTACTGAAAGAGCTTCTCAGTTTGACAATGGGATAACCTTTATTTTGACCTTTTCTTCTGAAAATTTACGGTAATGTCCCAAACCAGGCTTCAGTACTAGATGTGGCATTGCTTTCTGTGTAGATAAAAAGGTTCTTAAATATGTGTTCCTTGAAAAAAGATGTTTTTTTTCTTTTTATCCTACATGTGTGCTTTTGTTGTCAGTCTGTAGTTATCCCTGGCAGTTCAGATCCTTAAATGTATGTCTGGATTCTGGTTTTGGTGATCACAGCTGAAGGTTCAGAGTAGATTGTGTGCTTCAGAATTGCTGTTTTAACTTTCTAACACTAATGCAATGGCAAATTCTTGCTGCTTTGTTTTGTTTGTTTTTTTTTTTTTTTAATGTTTAACTCACATCTACTAGTAAGAAGCAACCTGTGAAGGCCAAAATTCCTTTTTCTCTCCAGAAGTGAAATAAAGACATGGCCTTACCCTTATTTAAAATGGGGTGCCACAAGTGCCACTTAGAGCTTTGCACATTAAAAATTCAATGAGTAGTCAGGTGGTTATGTGGGGTACAACAAGTGAACTTGACTGTCATAATTCTTTTCTTTCCCTCTCCAGGGGTATAACTGGTGCCATGATCGGAATGTAGTAACAATTTTCAGTGCTCCAAACTATTGTTACCGTTGTGGCAACCAGGCTGCAATTATGGAACTTGATGATACTCTAAAATACTCCTTGTAAGTATGTTTAAAAACGAGAATTATATTGCCTGTGGTTTTAAGATATAGTTGTAGCAAGTTATTTAATTATTGTGTTAAGGTATGGGGTTTTTTTTCCTCCTCTATGCTTTTTGGAGGTGGAGTGAGTGTGGTATTGTTGGGTTAGTCACATTTAAAGTCTTGGAGTCAAATATCTGGGACAATTGTTGAGATCTTCTCTGTCAGATAAAAGTGAGACTCCTCGTTTTTGTTTTGTATAACTAATTGGAGTTTAATGAATTACTACAGAGGTATGTGATTTGAGAGTAGGAGTAGTCTGTCACATCTGAGGTAATGCTCTCCTGTAGGTCTAGGCCAAGAGACTTTTGGAATCTTTGAATTCTTCAGATGTTGGGATGTCAGCTTTTTAAGTGAGGTTTCTAATTAACTACCACAGCAACAACTTCACTAGTAAATGGGGGAAAAGCTTAGTGTAAACTGACCTCTTTGACAATTACTGGAGACTTTAACTTTCTAAATATATGTTAACGTTTAACCAGTTTGAGTCTTAAAGCTAAAATTAATACCTCTCCAGACCTTTTAGTAAGAGGAGTTTTAAATGTGGGGATTACAAGTACATACTGATAGAAGGGGTGGAAGAGGTTGAACACTTGGTCTGCAGGACTTCAGTTGGGTGGTAAAACTTGGAAAGCCTTACCTGGGGTAAACCACTGCTGCTGTAACTCGGGGCTGGAAGGTACCTGAGGGGAAGCTGAGCCCTGGTGTCCTCACTGCTGTGTGCTCTCAGTTTGCAGTTCGACCCGGCGCCGCGCAGAGGGGAACCGCATGTGACCCGCCGCACCCCAGACTACTTCCTGTAAAGAGATTTTAGACCTGTACAGTATTGCCATGAACCATATGTTGACCTAAAGAAAATGGGAAGAGCAACAGTAACTCCAAAGTGTCAGAAAATATTTAACATTCAAACTTTGTTTTCACATGGACCAAAAGACGTGCCATATTCAAATACAAAGCCTCTTGTCGTCAACAACTGTGACCACTTTAGAATGAACCAGTTCATTGCATGCTGAAGCAACATTGTTGGTCAAGAAACCAGTTTCTGGCATAGCGCTATTTGTAGTTACTTTTGCTTTCTCTGAGAGACTGCAAATAATAAGATGTAGACATTAACACCTCGTGAATACATTTAACTTTCCATTTAGCTATAGCTTTATTCAGCATGACTGTAGATAAGGGTAGCAGCAAACAATCATTGAAGCTTAAAGAACATTTTTAAAATAAGTACCAAGGCCTCATATTTGTTCTGAAACTGTTTGTTTGTTTTATTTTCAGGGAATACTGTTTAATTTAATTGTATTGATTTTTTTTTTTTTTTGTCTGCACTCAGTTCCCTTTTCCACTCTGCCCTACCATATTGTCCCTTGTAATTGTCCAAGGATAGTGAATTACTTTGAACAGAACTGTTTTTTTCTGTAAAACAATTGTTACTGCAGGACAGAGCTGCAGTGTTTTTCATAATAAACTTGTGAACTAAGTATGGAAAAATGTCAAAATCCTAATTGCATCTCAGGTCAACTGTGGTTTAATAAACTAACATGTAGCTGGATGGGTTTTATAAACTTGCATAGAAATTTCCACCTTAAGTAACTAAAACTGAGGTGATCTGGAGTGTGCTGGAAAACTCTGACCTTTTGAATCCTGGGCCTGTGTCTTGCAGCTGAGAACAGCTCACTGGTTACTCACATGTTGCTCTTTCCCTCTTGGTGCTCTACTGAAATACTCAAAAATGGAAGAATATAGGATCACTTAATTGATTGTGTGGCTTATTTTCAAGTGTAAATCTAAGTTTGAGTCATTTACAATGTAGGTGCTAATACTTAAAATCATTTTTCTGAAAAACTTAAGAATAAAACCAGTTTTCTAAATATTAAAGGAAACAACGTGAAGTTTAGTACTACGTGTATTGCCCAAGCTTCTATTCTGAAAAATAGTGGTATGTGGTTTATGTTAACTTCTGTTCAAATATTTCCTTTCTACTAACTTGTTTCAGAATTAGAATCCCAATTTGATAATTTTGTTCAAAACAGAAATTCAAATTTTTTGCCTTCTTAAAGCTTGTGCTTCAAACTTCTTGGGCATGTTGAAAAGACACACTGGGATGTTGGCTTTATGGAGGACTCTTAATATTCATGTTGTTTGAGACTTTAAATATTTTGGGCACAATGTAGATTCTGTAATAACATGGAGATTTGTTTTCTACTGCTTGTTTCTAAGGGAATGCACTGAAATTTTGTAGATTTCCAACCCACCTGGAGGCCTGGTCTTAGACATGCTTTTTGGGGCTTTCTTGCTTTTCTGAAAAGCTGAAGACCCACTTAATTCTTTGCCTTGCAAAAAAGGTGCTGCATTTCACAATGTTCCTTCATCCCCTTTCAGAAGGGCTCAAGGGGTTACTTTTCCTTCAGCAGAATCTCAGCCTCGTGTCATAGGGTGGGTTCCAAATGGCTGCTGGGGAGCTCAGTCTGCTGCAGTTTGATCTCTTGCAGGAAGAAGTGCATGCTAAAAATAAGTGCATCTGAAGTGGCTTTTTTTAGTATATTGGGAGCTTTTGCTTTGATTGCTGTTGAAAACCAATCCTTTGCCTGTGGAGAGCAGTTCACGTTCCATTCCTGTCGCTTGCCATTCCCTGTGTTTGTGTAGATAAAACTGTGCTTTCATTGACACCATTCCTTCAAGAGGAATGTCTTTGCCCTATTTTCTGTTTTCCTTGTTGCTTTAATTGGCGTGACTCATCTGCTCTGAGCCCCTTCCTTGCTTCAGTTTCTGTACACAAATCCAAGTGCTTGTTAGTAAAGTCCATGGACAATGTTGGAGTCACTCCAGTTTTTGTGCTTTCCCCAAATTATGCTGTGAGGGTCTGTGTGAAGATTCCATTGAGAAAACCACATTGTGAGCAAAAACTGGTTACCCTGCTGGAGTACTAACCAGCTAAAAGTGTGTTGGCAAGATTCAAGAGGAGAAAGAAAACTTCAAATTGGTGTTTTATTTATTGGTAGCTGATCCATTAGTTCACCTGAGCAAGGCTTCCTTCACTTCAGTCTGTGAGGACACTGGCTGCAGAGAAAGGAGCATGATTAGGGTTTGTCCTTGTTCTGGAGATCAGTGGTGATGTTTCCTCTGTCATGACAAAGACTGATGAATTCCAAGAAATGCACAATAGTAGCTGAGAATCCCAGATTGTGGTAGTTCAGTGTTCAAGCAGGAATGTTACACCCAGGGCTGACACTGGGGTTTAGTTTTGAGAATGAAATTACTTTTCTGTGAACCACTTTAAAGACTTTCTCCTTCTTCTTTCTCAGAACTTGGCCAGAGCCCGGAGAATCCTGGTGGACAGAGGGGGGTGGGTTTTGGGTTTTCCCTGTTGTGTTTTGCTTTAGACATTTGACCATATCAGCTGGAAGTGAGCACCCTGCACTGGTGGAGGCCTGTCCTGAACTAAGGGACCATTAAATCAAGAGACCAAATCACACTCCTACACAGGAAAACATCTAAGTAACTTTGGTTTTGAAAGGAAAAATGAGACAGATTTGAAGTGCGTGGATTTGCCAGGGTTTTTTCCCCCCTTTACCCTCTTTCTGCCCCTTTCTTCTGCCTCTTCCCACCCTGTGCTTTGTTCCCTCTTGCTCATGGCCTCCCTGGGGATAGGGGCTGGCTGCTGCCACAGCCCCTGCTCGGCTGTGACTGAGCTGCCTCTGGAGAGGGATGTTTCTCCAAGGTAACCAGTGTCTGTGACTGTCACCTCCTGCTCATGGATGATTGTTTCCAGCTGCTGATGCTTCCATACACACTCAGTATCCCAAGTGCTTGGGCAGTGTTACCTGGTTTAGGTCTGATAATACCTTGGAAAGATACTGGATACATGGGAGAGAGGGAAGACAGAGCCTTGCCTCCTTCTTCCCATGTGTCTGGGTGGTAACAGAACAAAGTCTGCACTGGGGAAAAGGTGGTGAGGGGACACCCCTCTGCTGAAAGCTGGGACATTTTACCTGCCTGTATCTTAGTCTGCTTACTGTCAAAATCCATCTGGAAATAGAGAAAAAACTGCTGAGAGCTGCCAATCCATGTTCCATGAGAGGGGAGTTTTGTTTTTGTAGTAGTCAACTGAAATACTGAAAGGCATTTTCATAAAGCAGTTGTAGGTTAAGAGCCTGGGACAAAGTCTTTGACAATTTAAAAATTCAGCCTGAGTCTTAAAGGTAAAGAATTTCCTCCTGTACAAGACAAAGCCAACCTTGTTACTCAAGGGCTGCGTTTATTTTGGGCCTTTTTTTCATAGTTCGATAAACACATTCATCTGTTTTTCCCCCTCTCACCCCTTTGTTTCCTTAGTAATACTGGAGTGCAGTTCCTGCTGTTGGAGAAGCTGTGACCTCAGGAGGGGGCTGAAGGATAAATGTTCATTCAGGAAAAATGGTCTGTAAGAAGAGGCAAGTGCAATCACAGCTTTGAATTTCAGATTAAATACTTCTCCAAGTTCAGTGAGTTGAAGGTGTGGCCCCACTCCCCACCTCCTTATGTACCTGTCACACACTCATTTATCACTTGAGTTGCTGCCTGTTTTCTCTGAGTGCAGAGCACTCATTGAAACTCGAGGTGTGTTTTAGAGGTTGTTGCATAAGTTTAAGCAAATTTTACCCAAGAGGAGTGGCTTTTTAGTGTTCCATGGTTTTTGGCAGCCATGTACATGGTTTTCACGAGCTTGGATTTTGGAGCCAAATGCAAGCAACGATTTTTGAAGCCCTGTAGAAGGCATTGGGTGCCTTCTGTGTGCTACAGCAATCTCAACATGGAGTATTGGTGCTCTGCAAGTTCAGGAGAAGGTTGGAAACAGGTAGAGAGCCAAGTAAAAGTCACACTGGGCTGTATAAAAATCTTTCAGTACCCATGAACACACCAGCAAAGCCCTGCAGAGTCAGCAGTTCATGAGTCAGCCTTCTGTGGTTTTACAAAAAGTTATTTCAGTGCTCTAATTCATTTGGCTGTGCTCCTTTTTGGATGGGAATAAAGGCAGGCTGCTCTCTTGAGCAAGGGACCAGAGTGCTTTGGCATATGGACAGGAAAAAAAGGCTGAAACAACACTTTAGGTTTGAAATTAAGCAGTGCTGCATGTTTTAGCCTTTTAAAACCTGTGCTGCAGCTTAAAAGCTTTATTCTCTAAGATGGGTTGAACTACTGATCTCTTAATTACTCTCTGGTGAACAGAACTGCTTTGGGGTGGGAATTAAACTGATTGCTGCTGGTGTATAAAACATTAGTTGGTCATAGTATCTGGGACTGGTGATGGAGCATCCTGGATGAAGACTTGCAGGAAAATGATTGTGAGGAGAAAACTTTCCTTTTTGCAGCTCCTCATATCATTGCACAAGGTTGTATAAATTGAACTAAACCTTTGCTATCTGGTTGTCTTGACTTCTGTGTTCATCTTCCTCGTCAGATTTCCCCCAACCACATCTGGATTTTTGGAGGTTGGGTGCTTGGGGCTTTTTTAGTTATTTGTTTCATTAAACCTATAACCTGTTTTCTGGATTATGCATTTAAAACCCAAAGCGCTGAACTGTCAAAGAGGAATGTGACTTGTTTACATTGCTAATTGCATGATCGATTGGGCTGAAAGGCTTTAGGCTGGCTCCCAACTGCCTTTATTTTTCAGGAGTTTAAAAAAACGCCCCCCCACACCCAGCCTAACCCTAAACCTTGTGGGAAACCCTTTATCGCGGCAGTCAGTGCAGGAGTGGGCAGTGACTGCTGCTCTCTTCCTTGTTTTATAAGGAAAAAGCCCTGTCTGGGAGGATCCTGTGGTGTTTCATTCCACGCTTGACCCACTTTACAGGCAGCTCTGCTCCTTTTCCAGCGCCGTGTTGTCCTCGGGGAAGAGGAGCACAGCCGGCTGCTGCTGGAGCGGGACCGTGCCGGGGGAGGGAGGGGGACCACAGCTTCCCGGGAGAGAGAGAGAGAGGCTGGGGATGGGTTCTCTGACTGTCTGGTCATGAGTTTATCCAGCTTTAGCTCTGCCCCTTTTTCCCTGGAATCTCTTTTAAAAATGCTTTGAATTATCCTGACTCCTGAAACACACTGTCTTTATTCCCATGGACTTTGAAACCTCAAAGCAACTGCTCGTTATCATCCGTGGCGTCAGAGCCAGCCTGGAATCTGCTTTTTGGACTTTGAACAGCTCCAGGGTTGGACACCAGTGCCAGGCAGCCCTGTAGAGCCAGCACAGTTCCCTTCCCCTCGTGCTTATATCAAGGATATATCAAGGATATTCACAGTTCTATGCGTTACCACTTAACGTCGTTCTTAAGGCCACATACAGCGAGCCTGCGCTTCTCCCGGCGTTCTTGGAATGCTCGGGAGCGCATCTCCCGGGGCTGAGCTCCCTCGGAGCGAGCCCCGGCGCCACCGCGTGGCACTGCCCGGCCTGCCGTGACCCTGCTTAGGCGAGGCTCTCACGCGCTGTCTCCGGGCTGGGCTCCTCTGGAACGGTCCAAATGATTTCAGAGGATGCCAAGGCACAACTGGTACAAAAATCACTGTTAAAAGTGTGCGGAGGTGGAGGGAGGATGAGGTTAGGAAGTAGATGCTGCAAATAGGTTTGAGGTAGGTGTTTCTATTTTTAGTCTTCCCCCCCTTCATCTTTAGTTTTTTAAACTATCTTGAATCCCTGCAGTTATGTAAGGGGAATGTGAGCAGAGTTAGAGGGAGAAATAGAAGCTGATAATGAAAAAAAGCCAGTTGGTGTCTGCTTGGCAGAATTTGGTTGTTGGGTTTGGTCAGTCCATTGGTGTCTACTTTGCTCTCATGAGACCCCACCTGCAGTGCTGGGTCCAGCTCTGGGAACCCCCAACAGCACAGGGACGTGGAGCTGCTGGAGAGAGTCCAGAGGAGGCCAAGGAGATGCTCCGAGGGCTGGAGCCCCTCTGCTCTGGAGCCAGGCTGGGAGAGCTGGGGGGGTTCATGTGGAGAAGAGAAGGCTCCAGGGAGAGCTGAGAGCCCCTTCCAGGACCCTAAAGGGTCTTCAGGAGAGCTGGAGAGGGACTGGGGACAAGGGGGAGTGGCATCCCAGTGCCAGAGGGCAGGGTTAGATGGGATATGGGGAAGAAATTCTTCCCTGTGAGGGTGGGGAGGCCCTGGCACAGGTTGCCCAGAGAAGCTGTGGCTGCCCCATCCCTGGGAGTGTCCAAGGCCGGGTTGGATGGGGCTTGGAGCAACCTGGGCTGGTGGAAGGTGTCCCTGCCCATGGCAGGGGGTGGAACTGGATGGGCTTTAGGTCCCTCCCAACCCAAACCTTTCTGTGACTGATTCTATGGCCTGGACTCTCACCCAAGTGCTGGGCTCTGTCACCCACCATCTCATGCTGGGGTACAACGGGAATGAAAAGTGACTCCTTCTCAAGGATGCTGCTGCAACAGAAGTTTTAATGAAGTGGAAATGCAATAATTAGCTTTTCATATAATTGGCTCTTTCAGATTTGTACTGAGAACAAGAATTTTCCTCTTCTGCCACTGCATTGTTGCAAGACTGCTTTAAACAACAGTGGCACAGGCCTTTGAGCTCAGTGGTGTCTTCCTGCCATCTCTCTCACATGAATAATTCTGATGTTTTCTGTTTTTACACTGAATCAGTCACCTCAATTGTTTTCAAACTTGTTGATGTGGCTGCTTGTTTTAAAAAAAACCGTTCCTTATCTTTTGTATTGGGGGGGGGGGGAAGAGGATTTTTGGATTTTTGCAGCACTCTCCCCTAGATGTAGATGAGGTTTTTGTTCAGATTCCATGGTTGTACCTGGCTCAGGGAACCTCTCTCTGGTTCAGGGAATCCAGGCTGAGTTCTGTGCAGTTTCATGGAGCAAAGCTGAGCCCTTTTAAGCCTGATTGTCATTAGACCTTGACAATCCCATGTCACGCTCACAGTATTGAAAAATAATCAGTGTGTTATCTCCATAGTCTCTAAATCACCCAGCAGCAGCAAAAAAAAGAGGCAGTTTCTCAGTCAAAGTGGAATGCGAGGTGTTCGGAGGGGTGGGAGGCTCCGTGATTTTTGCCTGGGAGAAGCAGCCAGGAAGGGAATGCGGGGCTGTGGAGCCGGGGCAGGGCTGCGTCCGGGAGCTGCTCCCCCCGCTCGGCGCGTTCAAACCCCTTCCCCCGCTCAGCCGGCTGAGCCCCAGCCCGGGGATGCTGCGAGTATGTAGGTCAGAGCTCTTCTGGATCTGATTAAGCGTTAAACCAAGCTCAGTTGCTCCAATCTTTTCAGGTATTTGCTTTAGTGTGAAGCTTCCCCCTCCCTCGGCTGCGTTCGCAGCGGTTTTTACCTCAGTTGCGGCGTCCCCGTGGCCGGCACACGGTGCGATTCTCTGCGCTCGGGGGGCGATGCTCGCATTGAGGATTATTTTGCGTTACAGTCGTTACCTGCGCGCGGCACAATGGAAATCGGGCCGGCCCTTTTCGGAACAGTCATGTTCTCTGCCTCGCAGCTTTAGCCAAGGACGGGTTTTTTGTGCCATTAACGCTGCCTCGCAGGCAGCACTCGGGCTATCGGCGCCGCAGCAGCTGCTCTTGCAGGGCAGATAACGGGAGGCATCTGGGGCGCCGGGGAGGTTCTTTGTACGATATGTGGGGCACAGCGGGAGGTGCCGTCCCGGCATTTGGCATATCTGTGCCAGCCGGCTGCCTCTTCTTGGGCCGTGCGGTGTTTATGCTGCTTTGACTTTCCCAGACTTCGAATTCAACAGCGAAATCCCCCGAGGATGGAATTCTCTCCTTTGGAAAGCTGTAGAGAGCTGTACCAAGTATAAAACTCATCAGGAGTATAATTTTTAATTTAATTCACCCGCAGCTATAATTAAGGAGGGAACTTCGCGCTCTGCCTGTTCGAGATTCCATGAGGTTTGTCTCCTGGTGAGATGAACCCCATCCCCCTTGGCCGAGCCTGATTTGCAGTCTGAGAGCTTGTGCTCACTGGTCATGAGCCAAATCAGAAACCTTGGGCTTTGGCAACATCGGGAAAGGGGATTGAGGATTTTGCAGATATGTTCTCCACAGACCACCTGCTGTCATTCTCTGATCCTCTAAACCAAGGAGTATTAATATAAATAAATTAAAAAAGAATGAACAAACAACAACAACAAAAAAACAAACAGGAAAAAAGGAAAATAAAGGAATAAAAGGAAAATAAAGGAATAAAATAAATAAAAGGAAAATAAAAAGAAAATAAAGGCAGTGTTGTTTATATGGAGTGAATGTGGTTCTCAGCATTGGAGATGGAGTGATTGAGGGGGAAAGAGGTAAATGTGACGAAGGTACAATCACAAGGTCTCAGTAGACATAGTTTGGAGGCTTCACACTCTATGTATGTGATATAGGGTTGTCACTGTGTAACTATCTTCCCTACTTAAAGGCCACTTTGCCACAGAGGGCTCAGCACCAGAGTGTGGAGCAAGTGCTGTGAGAGCACAACACAG